CGAGAAAACGTAAAAGTAGAGAGTTATTATTGACAACTCTACAACACAGTTTTTTAAGTTTCTTAAAATCAATGCAAACACACAGAAAACTAAAACTGACAAAGTTAGCAAATTTCACTCGACCGTTTTGTTTCAAAATCGATAAAAATGTATGCAATGGTATATGCACTTAAGTACTTAAGTTGCAGTATTATATAATTAAGAAGAAGCGATTACTATGCTCTGCCGAGATGTTTCAGTGTCGTGCATTTGTACAAATAATCGCGAATATTGCCAAGTACGGGTCAATGAAAATATTCACAATTTGGCAACATGGAGGACGGGCAAAGGTGTATGATACCAGAGAACATAATGATACTATGTTCTCTGATGATACCCTGCCGAGATGATGTCAGATTGTGTTCTGAACATAGGCAACTTGTAGGTTTCGTAATTAAATGCATTTTCATATTTTTAATAGCGCGAAATTCTCACATTTAAAAATGTGCTTTCATTTTAGTGGGGCATTGCCCGTTTGCCCTTCCTGCACCACCCGCCACTGGTCAAAACCCACCTCTTCTGGGCCTTGTCTGTCACAACTACATACATTCTACAAGCGTGCTCTACAGTCAGGGATTTATACAGACTGTTCATTTTATCTGTTCACGTCTGAACTGTGCCTGAGTATTTTTGCATAGGCAACCCATTTTACGTTTCATAAACAGCTTTGATTAATTTTTATTACTTCCCGAGCGTAAGCAAAGGAAGTATTGTAATCGAGTCCGTCGGCCGACTCTCTACTTTTACGTTTTCTCGATCTTTCATGACCCCTAGAAGACAAAGAAATAGGTCTCCCATTTCCGTCTGTCTGTCCGTCTGTCCGTCCGTCTGTCCGTCTGTCCGTCTGTTGTCCCGGATTTTTATTAGACAGATAATCTCCGAAAGTACTCGACCGATTGTTGTGAAATTTTGTACTTATATTAAGAATATCATGTAGATGGTAAAACGCTAACCAAAATTTGTCTAATCATCCCCACCACTAATGCGATGACGTCACTTCAAAATTGTACATAGTAAATGGGTTTTCAATTGTATAAAATAACATAGTCCTACACATGTAGTTTACAACTCTGAATCGACTTTTCACCCGAAACGTCCAGATTTTTGGAAAAAAAATCATAATTATAAAACAACATTTTGAAATTTAATTTTTAATCTGCTAACCAGAGTGCTTTGAAATGTTGCAGATGTTTTAAGGCTATAAAGAGCATCATAAATCTTTAGTCAAAAAATATTTGCTTATCCCCTCCAAAAACTTGATGACGTCAGCTCAAAAGTTTGTGGAATAAATCATATCTAAAATGTACAAAAGATGATGAGCCTGTACTTGTGATCTATCACTCCATTCATATTTTTTGGATTTGCATATACAGGGTGACTCAAAAAAATTAATGAATGCGTAAATATATTTTATTGATTTAATCAGGAACTACAAAACCGAATGCTCTGAAATCTTGCAGATGTTTTAAGGTCGTAAAGAGCATAATAAATGTTTAGTCAAAATATATTTGCTTATCCCCTCCAAAAACTTGATGACGTCAGCTCGAAAGTTTGCCGAATAAATCATATCTAAAATGTACAAAATATGATGAGCCTGTACTTGTCATTTATCACTCCATTCATATTTTTTGGATTTGCATATACAGAGTGACTCAAAAAAATTAATGAATGCGTAAATATATTTTATTGATTTAATCAGGAACTACAAAACGGAATGCTCTGACATCTTGCACATGTTTTAAGGTTATAAAGAGCATAATAAATGTTTAGTCAAAATATATTTGCTTATCCCCTCCAAAAACTTGATGACGTCAGCTCGAAAATTTGCCGAATAAATCATATCTAAAATGTACAAAATATGATCAGTCTGTACTTGTGATCTATCACTCCATTCATATTTTTTGGATTTGCATATACAGGGTGATTCAAGAAAATAAATGAAAGCGTAAATTTATTTTACTGATTTACTCAGGAACTACAAAACCGAATGCTTCGAAATCTTGAAGACATTTTAAAATTATCATAAGCATGGTAAATTTTTGATCAAAACGTATATTTGGTCGTCCCCCCACAAAAAAATTATGATGCCACCACAAAATTTTGCTGAAAAAATCCTATCTAAAATGTACAAAATATGGTGAGTCTCTTCTTGTGATTTATCATTCCATTCAAATTTTTTCGATTTGCATATACAGGGTGACTCAAAAAAATTAATGAATGCGTAAATTTATTTTATTGATTTAATCAGGAACTACAAAACCGAATGCTTTGAAATCTTGCAGATGTGTTAAGGTTATAAAGAGCATAATAAATTTTTAGTCAAAATATATTTGGTTATCTTCTACAAAAAACTGATGACGTCAACACAAAAGTTTGCCGAATAAATCGTATCTAAAATGTACAAAATATGATGAGTCTGTACTTGTGATTTATCATTCCATTCATATTTTTGGATTTGCATATGCAGGGTGACTCAAAAAAATTAATGAAGGCGTGAATTTATTTTATCGATTTAATCAGGAATTACAAAACCGAATGCTTTGAAATCTTGGGAATATTTTAAAGTTATTATAAGCATGGTAAACTTTTGTTCAAAATGTATTTGTTCATCCCTCCTAAAAAAATTGATGACGTCACCCTTAAATTTTGCTGAATAAATCCTATCTAAAATGCAAAAAATATGATGAGTTTGTACTTGTGATTTATCATTCCATTCATATTTTTTAGATTTTCTTAAGAGGTGGTTCAAAAAAATTAATGAAGTCAATTTATTGTATTGATTAAATTAAAGACAACACTTATTATTAGTATTACACCCCAACCAACCCAATTTGGTAGACACAAAATTTGTTAAAGGAAAAACTCGGTTGAAACATAAGGGTAGCATCGCTTATTTACATCGACTTTAACATTACAGACCTGCATTTGTTTTATGCGATCACTTGGTTCCGCAAATGTGAAATAGACATGTTTATAATCAACCAATTGTGAATTTCACCGTCAAGAATTAAAATAAAACCCAATGTTTTATATAATAAGCGGAAGTCGAAGAAATAAAACCGACGGTCGTTTTGTTTACAGTTTCTCTGTTTGGCTCTCACGTATGCTGTTACGCCTGTCATCTTAAATTAAGAATGTTTATACATACACGATTTTCAGTTGCCTCTGATACGTAGGTATACGTGAGTAAATTGTTTCGTTATTTTATTGATTATTACAAATCAATATTCAAACGACCCAATTCATTTTCCCGAAAATTTGAGAAACAAAAATGTAATGAGAAAAAAAACACAATAGGCATGCAGTCGTCAAGTTTCCGACAGCGAGGGAAGTACTGTCTAAACTCTTTAGACCAATTTTTTGATATTGTGTTTTCTCGGTTTTTAAATTTTTCGATATTTTAATTTTTCAGTTTTTAAAGTTTTAGGTTTTTAGATTTCTCACTATCTCGACTTTTCGATTTTTCAGTTCCAGTTCCAGATTTTTTGAATTTTTAGTTTTTGATACGATTTTTTTTTCAAAAATTTTCAATTTTTCCAGTTTTTAACTTTACGATACTTCAGTTTTGCTCGATTTCTCAATTTTTCGACATATTACTGTTGGGATTTTTCAATTTATCGATTCTTCGATTTCTAGAATTTCCTCATTTTTCAATTTTTCGATGTTTCAGTCTTACGATTTTTAAATTTTTTTATTTTTCAGTTTTTAATTTTTGACGTTTCTAAATTTTTCGATTTCTCAATTTTTCGGTTAGCTGATTTTTTGATTTTCCCATTTCTCGGTTTTTCAATTCTTTCTTCAATTGTGATTTTTCAATTTTTCGGTTTCTGAATTTTTCAATGTTTCAGTTTTGGATTTTTTCACTTTTCCGATTTTTCAATTTTCCTTCCATTTTTCAGTTTTTCAGTATTTCAGTTCTGGGATTTTGCAATGTTTCGGTTCTTCAATTTTTCCATTTTTTGATGTTTCGATTTCTCGGTTTTTCAATTTTTCGATAGGTATTTTAATTTTTCAATTTTTAAGTTCTAGATTTTCCGTTAATTTTTTTGTTTTCCTTGATGTTTTGATTTATCGATTATTCGATTTTTCAAGTTCTCGGTTTAGATTTTTTGGTTTTCCACTTCTTGGATTTTTAAATTGTTTAATTTTTAGATTGTTCAATTTCTCGATTTTTAGATTTTTCAATTTTTCGGTTTACCGATTTTTTTTCATTTAAAATGTTTCAATTTTTCAATTATTAACTTTTCGATTTTTCAATTTTCGTCTAATTTGATTTCTTAATTTTTTGATTTTTTGACTCCCCTAGTGTCGATGTTTTGATTTCTCGATGTTTCGGTTTTTGAACATTCCGATGTTTCGATTTTTCGACTTTTTGGCTTTTCGAGTGTTCAGTTTTTTATTTTTGAATTTTAGATTTTTGTTTTTTTGATTTTTTGGTGTTTCGATTTCCCAATTCTTCAATTTTTCGATATTTTAATTTTTCAATTTTTCGAATTTTTAAATTTAAAAAAATGACAGTATAAATACAGTATGTTGGATCATGGTCGACCAGTATAAAGATTATGGCCTGTCCAAAGGTACCATACGTGCTGCCATCTATTAATAATTCAAAAACGACAAAAGAATTATTAACACTTTTTGAAAGGCACAAAGGCATTCATACCAAAACAAACGACCATTACACGTTTTGAAGTCTCATAATGTCAAATCAAATTAAAATTTTGCTAAATTATTAATAGATGGCAACACGTATGGTACCTCTTGGACAGGCCATAATCTTTATACTAGTCGGCCATGGTTGGACAAAAGTGTGGTTACTTTTGACATGTATCTTTCATTAAAGCCAAAAAAGCAGTTTAAAATATTGTGGAAGTCATTAAAAACGTCAGGATTTTAGAATAATCAGTCAAAATAACTTCTATTTATTTGTGAAATCAAACGGTTACTCTAAATAAATTAAATTTTACTTTATAAACATGATATTTATTAAGCAACTGGGGAAAAGTAGAATAAGCTGTAGTTATTCACTCAATAAAATAAATTTATTTGATATATACTGAATTTGTAAGGTGTGTCCAACTCATTCCTCACCACTGAGTAGCATTTCTAAAAGGTCCAATTTTTCACACTGGTCTCCTTCCAACCGCTGTGGTTGTTGCCACCGTAAAACGGTTGGGAGCACCATTAATTTAGTTTTTTTATCTTTTCGAAAAGGACAATTCATGTCTTTCCAACTAAAAACGAAAGGCATATTAATTCTTATAATATGACATAGTTCCTATGCTTACAAAGGTCTGTCTCCAACTTGAACATAAATAAAGTGCCCTTCATATTTCGCTTTCTCTAAAGCCTCTTCAATAACTGGGGCAGCTGTGAAATTAAAACATTACAGTACTTCCAGTAAAATAAAAAAAAGTGGAACATTTTGTTGCAATACCTCTTACACAATCATCACACCAACTTTCTCCAGATGGCAGTTTTGAACCTCCAAAATAGATGTGTATAGGCTGACCCTTATCATCAAACTTTTCGATAAATTTACAGAATTCATCATAACCTTCTACAAAGTGTTTACTGACCATTTCCTATCTGTTAAATTTCACTGTAAAAAGTGTTTTCCCTGTATGCACTAAAAAAACAAGATAAACAATCACACTAGGAGCACGTGTTAACATGCACCAACTAACGTTGCCAGAATAAATAATCAGTGTAGTATAAATTACCTACCTCTCAGATAAGTCCAGTTTGATAAGTGTTTGGATAAATTTCTTTATCAGCGCCAAATATCACATTTTTTCTTTACTAGTTATAATATGATTGCACATGTAGTAATATCACCCTTAATTTCTGAGAAAAATTGGGAGTAATAACATTTACAATTTACTGCAATTTTAGAGGTTATGTTTGGCACTTATTTTATATATGGAGACTGTGCCCGAGTTGCCACAATTGTTGTCATGATGGGTAGACAACACACAATACACATTAACGTAAAAAAAACATAACTTAAGGGGGAAACGTGTTAACTTCCGTTTGTTGTGTTCATTTTTAGTGGTGATATAAAACTGATTCAACCGTTTTGAGTTTATATTTGTAGTGACTATTTTTCGAACTCTAGTTTGTATATTATACAGTTTTTTTTATGAACAATTACACTACTTTTCTTCTACTTTTTAGCACAACCAGGAGCGAACCTAATTACGTGATTTATGAAAAAAAAAATCCAGAAGATGCCATTCGCAGACAGACATACAGACAATATGAAATATATTTCAAGCAAATAACTAACGGAAAAGAGTGCATCATTATTAGTGTACATGCTTAATTTCGATTGTAAATGTTTATTCATCGAAAGAATGTCATGCAGAAATTTGTTTAATTTGAATGACTTGTTTCCTCAAAACGGAGGACTAAAATGATTAATTAAGCTACAATGGAACAAAATGTTTTGAATGTGATTCTTATTAACTTATTAATAATCTTATTTGATCATAATTAAATAATGCCGTGACTGTTCTCACATTTTCTAGAAATGGGTTTTAATTTGAACAATAAAAAATTGGTCGAAGGCTATAAGCATAATCCGACAAATCCAGCTCTTTAACAAAATTATAAAATTTTATTTTACGATTTTCGATTTGTGATAACTAGAGAGCGGAAAATATGCAGCAAAATTTTGAGAAATATGATCATATGATATGCACCAAATTTATGCAAATATGCAGTAACTTTCTTAATATATGCAGAGATATGCAGTTGCATATGCTCCAAAAATTAAAAAAAAAAGCTTAATAAGCGAACTAAATTTATTTATAAAATACAAAAACAGGTTTCCCGAGCTTACGTTTTATTACAAAAAATACATAAATCACATTGCATGGTGTTTAATTACATCTCACTAACACATAAATCACGTTTTTAAAGATAAAATTCTTGTACTAAAAAATAAATATAAACAGAACAAATTAAAAAATAGTAGTAATCCACTATTTAATTACTATTTTTTATTCTGTTGGGCAAAATATATTATTATTATTATTATTACTTTGGTACCAATTTATTTTTAAATATTTTTCGAAATATTGTAACAAAAAGTTTTTCCGGTGATTCTAAAGTACCTATATATATATTGGTAAATAGAAAAACTGCGTACTACGTCCAGAGATGTAAAAATACTTACCAATTTAGGGCAGGCGCGACAAAACACAGTTCGTTCTTGAAGAATAAGTTTAGGAAAAGGTTTAATCCATAAATTAATTTGAGTCATCTTCGACATATTGGTATACCTGTATCCCTTTAAATGCTTTCAATACAAACTCACAATGAAATATAATAGTATAACGTCCCTTCGACCACCACTAAACGTACAATTAATACACTTAACTAACGAACAAAAATATTGGGAATGAACGGTATTTCCAAATGTAATTAGGGCGCGAATTTACCTGAAAGGATAGCTTAACACCCAGTGGTGTCTCCAAACTACCATAAAACCCAAACCTTTCATAGTTATTTGAAGCTCAGGACAATATTTGCAATATGATTAATAAAATTTCGTTTTTCTAGATAAATGCCAATAGAATGACAATATTTTTTTTTTTCAAATTAACACAAAAATTGATAAAAATGCAAAATATGCACCCGTTCCGTGAAATATGCAGCAGAAGGCAAATATATGCAAATATGCAATTTTTTTATAGCTGTATTCATTTTTAATTAGCATGATTCGTTCACATATTAAATATCAAGACTTATATGCAAAAAATAACGGATATGCAAATTTCATAAAATCCGCTCTCTAGTGATAACCGCTGTAAAGTAAAAACCAGTGGCATAAATAACACCCCCGCAGCCTTTGTGCCGTACGGACAATGTAGAATATAATTAAAGCACATAACTAACGTGATAACATGTCCTTCAACACTAGGTAATAGCAATCTGAAGCTCAAGCTTTTATTTATGTTTATACATCGAAATAATGTCACGTAGAAATTAGTTTGATTTGCATTTTGTAGGATATGGCTGATTTTGAATTTTTCGACCATTTTCAACATCCAGAACTCATTTAAGACTTCGTTTCTTCGAAAATTTTTATCACTCTTCCAAAATCGCCAGTTGAAAATAGCAATTTTCACAGTTCCAGTAGCAAATAGTGTAACAAAAAATTACGATTAGCGCTTTTTTCTTACCTTTTTCAAATCCTAGATTCTATTAGTTTCCACTCCCACTCCATAGAAGAACATAATTTTCGAAAATAGTAGACAATGGGTCGAAATTTTCATAACGGATTTTGGAAATTTTGAGATGTAGATCTCGATGTGCTTATTCGAAAAATATAGGAAGTTAGGAATTCAATTTTTTTAAGAAATCTTAAAAATTGTCATATTTCAAGAGGCGATTCCGAAAAAATTGGAAGTCATCGGAGTAACGGAGCCGAAAATAACTTCTAGAGGTCAAAATCTACAAGAAAATGTGTTTAGGTAATTTTCGAAATTTAAAAATCAATTTATCTTTTTTTCTCACCAACGGTTTAACAGATTTGTCGAAGATTGTAATAAGTCAATAACTTTGTCAATAATTAACAGTGTTAAAAGTAGTCACCAGAATGAAGAAGGGGCGGGTGGGCGGGGCTATTGCTTGCCTATAAGACTGTCTAGTAAAAAGCTAATATTAGCCCCGCCCACCCACCCGTTCTCTCAGTTATTTTTCTTCTGAAATAAGAAATAAATTTTATAATAATGCACCAAAAAAGCCATGACTAGCACTTTTTCTACAGTCTAGTTTCTCTCAGTTACTTACCACTCCCACTCTAGAGAAAAAGATATAACTAACCCCGCCCAACCACCCGACTCTATTTCTGTGTTTAGTTTTATTTGCTCTGAATGAGAGGTGGATCTTATACAGAAATAAAATTAGTCGCTAAAACGAGAAGAGGGAGGGTGGGCGGCAATAGAATTTGTTAAGATAAGACTGAGTTTGGCAAGTGACATACCTCTGGGTTTAGTTCTTGCAACTACGATTAGCGCTTTTTTACAGCCTTATTTCTGTCAGTTACCACTCCCACGCTGAGTAAACCCCGCCCACCCGCCCGCCTTCCTTTCGGTGATTAATTTTATTTGCTCTAAATGAAAAGTGGATCTTATACAGAAATAAAATTAGTCATTAAAATGAGGAGAATGAGGTTGGGCGGGGCTAGTACTTGTTAAGACTGATTTTTGCAAATGATATATTCTCTAAGAAAATAGAGGGCGAGTGGGTGGGGCTAGTACTTGCAACGATAAGACTGAACAATATTAAAAGTAGTAATTGGAAGGAAATGGGTGAGGGTGGGCGGGGTTATTGCTTGCCTGTAAAAGACTCTAAAAAAAAAAAAGCCAAAGATTATGCCCCACCCATACCCGCCCCGATCTCAATTCTAAATTGTGATGAATTTTTTATTCTTTGTCAGATCCAGGGGCGGGCCTGAATTGCAAGATACGTATTTGTCTACAAGAATTTACCATGTTAAACATGTTTTAAGTTTCTTGTTTTGAAAAGACATATATTAAGAAAAAACGCAAAATATAAATGCAAAAAATAGTTTTGCATTAAAAAGTACAGTTGGTTGCAAAAAACGTGTTATCGAGACAAATGTTACATTTATAATGAGTTGGGCTGTCTTCTTGCTGCTTATATATTGTCCGGGGTGCGGCGCGGAAGCAGCTATACTCAAAATTTATCCAACAATATCCTCCCCCGGGGTAATTTCGTAAAATCCTACTGAAAAATATTAGTGATTTTAATTACTTAGTTACATGCCAAATTTAAAGTCTTTAGTAATTATAGTTACGGAAATCAGGCAACTTTAAAGCGAAAATATGAATCCTCTTTTCACCCGACCGGGTATAAAGTAGCAATAATTTCATTCATTATTGACACATAATGTACATTATTATTCTCTAGGAAATAAGAACTCGCTATTCCCTGGGGAATAATGTAAAGAAGCGTTTCCGTGAGGACGGCTTCCTTAAATTACCAGATTCAATGTAATGCGGTTTAAATTTAATTAAAGTTGTATCATTTTAGTAGAAAAAATTAGTCTGAAATCCTTATTCATACAAAACTTCCCTCGCAGGAAGTTTTTTAAAAAAATACTAAGAGCTCCCAAGATTCTTGTAATCTCTTTCAAAAAACATTAAACGCCTCGACACTTTTTTAAATTCTTTAAAAAATAAATCACAAAGGATTTCAATATAGTAAAAGAACAAAATTCTGTGTGTTTCGAGGAGCGGAAATTAAAAAAAAAATAATAGCTATTTATGGTATAAGTGAATAAAAGTGAATTTTATCCAACGAAACACAGTTTAGCATACGAGGCGAAGCCGAGTGTGATAATGTTTTTGAGTGGATAAAATGCGTTTATTCACATGTATCATACAAGATTTTTTCCAATTTCGCAAAATTTTTCAAAAAATTTATCGTTTAGGTAATCCATATATATAAATATTTGCTGTACTATTGCTAATATGATGAACATTTAAAGAAGGTAAATTGCCTAAGCTGCCTGTACTTTCGTCACCGTCAAATTCAAATGATGGTCCTGGACTTTCATTAGAATTGTTTTACAGGAGGTGGACTATCAAGCGTTGCAAATTAAATCAATGACATCTTCTTGTTGATATGAGTTTCTTCTAAGTCTTTGTAGAATTTTTCATGTAGTTGTTTTTGTTTTAGTCCACTTATTATTTTGTCTATTGTGTGGGGGGTGTGGATTTCTTCGGTGTTCGACAGATTTAAGGGTGTGTGGTTCAAATCAGCTCTTGCGATGGTGCAAAACATTTCATTTCTTTCTGCTCGTTTCAAGAAATACTTCTTCACATCTGAGATTTGTCTCTGATATAAGTTTTCTAGGTTCTGGAAACCCCTTCCTCCATTCTGTCTTGGTAATGAGAATCTTTCAATGGATGATTTTGGATGATGCGTTCGATACTGTGTGAAGATTTTCCTTGTTGCGATGTTTAAATTTTCAAGATCAGTTTTGGACCATTTAATGATTCCAAAAGAATATGTTAGCAATGGAACGCAGAATGTATTTACTGCTTTCATTAAATTTTTTCCATTTAACTGTGTCTTCGATATTAATTTTAATCTCGCTAGGTATTGATCTTTCAACTGTGTTTTCGTTTTGGTATGATTGATGTGGGAGGATTGACAGAAACCCAGATATTTGTATGTATCATTTCGTTCTTGGGCTTCGATTATTTCGTTATTCTGGGTTATATATGGTACTTGGTGTTGGACGCCTTTTCTGATTGCTTGGGTCTTACATTTCTCAATACCAAAACACATACCAATATCACCGGAAAACTGTTCAGTCAGATTTAATGGGTTTGTTAACTAATTTTGTGTACTTGCATATATTTTTATGTCATCCATATACAGCAAGTGACTTATTCTGTTTTCTCTTTGTTTGTTAATTCTTATATTGAACCCATAATTGCAGCTGTTCAGGATATCGGAGAGGGGATTTATTGCTAAGTAGAACCATAACGGGCTAAGAGAATCGCCTTGAAAAATTCCTCTTCCGATCATTATTGGATCTGACTGAATTGTTTGTTCATTTAAGGTCATTTGGAGGGTGCTCTTCTAAAATTCCATGGAACATTTGAGAAAAGTGCAGATTTTAGTATCAATTTTGTATAATTCCAGAATTTTGCATAGCCAGGAATGAGGGCCAGAATCGTAAGCTTTCTTATAGTCAATAAAAGCAGTATATATGTTTCGGTTTTCTTTTCTAGCTTGTTCACAGATGATGGAATCTATGATTAATTGCTCTTTGCAACCAAAGGATCCTTTAATACATCCTTTCTGTTCTTCATTAATGATGTCAGAGTTAAAACAGTGTTGACAGATTTTTTGTGTAATGCATGAGGTTAATATATTATAGATTGTCGGTAAACATGTGATAGGTCTGTATTTTGATGGATTTTTTGTGTCGTTATCTTTAGGTTTCTAAATCCCTCGACTGTAGATCACTTTCAGTCTCGGGATTAATATCGTTGTTTATTTCCTTGATTAATAAATAAATATTTTTCCCTATCCCATTGGAATTTCGAAAAATCGGGCCTTATTCCTTCTCTACCTTATAAAGGGAACCTCTGTGCCAAATTTCAGCTTTGTATTTGATTCATTAATGTACCAATATTATGTTATAATTTATAACAACTTGCTGTGTTTAGTACTGTACAATCTGCAAAATTTTGTAACTGAATAAATACTAATATTATTTAAATTATTAAAATGATTTTCACTTTAATCCATAATCCAAAATAAGTTGGATGTGTTCCCGTACTAAATGAGTATAGCTAGAGTCAGATAGACTGGAGTTAATGCCATGGCTAAATTAGTAAACCCCGGACCTGGACCGGAGTTGAAGTTCGTCGAAATAACGGTACATACATGAAACTAAATAGCACATATAGCAGACATGCAGTAAGTAAAACGACAACGGCGCAAAAAATTGTACAATATAATGAAAATCGCATTTCTAGATACAACTTTGACAGATTAGTAAAAGCCCGACCTGAGCAGAGCTGAGTTTCGCCGAAAAAATTCAGCTTATGGATCTTAAAGCGCCAGTTGCATTATGTAAGAAAAATTATGTAAGAAATGGGTGGCAAATTGCCTGCTAAGACTGCAATGAAAATCTCGGATTTCCATCTCATATTAAAAATATTGCTTGGTGTTTACTTGTTGCATAAAATAGTTAACGAAGCTACTTGTAATGCGATCTTGAGAAAAATAGCTTATGACTTACACATTAACAAGGTAAGAAGGCACAAAGAAATTTTTTTTTGAAGCGAAACTTACATTTTTACCGTCTTTATTCTTCATCTGCATAAAAACTGACAATTAAGACTGTTGCAATCTAAATTAACCTAAGGCTATTTAGGGATTGAGTTTAAATGGAAGAAAGTTTTAAAGATTTATATTAGGTGATTTCGCTTTTTAGATATATAATACATATTCAGAACTAAAAGGAGAAAGTAAAAGTCAGTGTACTCTTATTACTACACTACTAAATCTGGACCACATATTTTTTCCGTAGAACATTGAAAAATATATTACTGAAAAATTCGTCATAGCAAGAGGCCGTTTTTATATATTTAAAATTTACTTTATATATGTGTAGATATAAATCCAGCGTAAAATTTCATTTCCTTTCTTCCTGAATACCGTAAAATTGTGTAATGAAATTACTAAAACGATACACTTGTAACTTTTGAGGTCACTATCACTGGCTCATTAAAAAAAATTCGTGTTTATACTTCAACTTGTTAATAAAATTATGGCAAAAGTTGTTGCAAGAAAAGAAGTAGAGGAAATACCTTTCGCTTTCGATGTCTTCACATGTGTTCCATTATCAAAACACGATGTTATTAAACTATTTCAAGTTAACCTGTTGTGTAGTGTTAAATCTAAGTTACGTGAATTCTTTAAATTTTAACAACAATGCCTGTAGAAATTTGGGCAGTTATCCATTTAAAAGTGTTAGCGGAAATTGCTACGAAAATCCGGATGTGAGAGCCACTACGGTAAATTTTCTTTCCATTATTGTCCGTAGATCTATTTTTGTACAAATTTTATAGCCAGAAATTATACAAAGACGTGGTTTCAAAGTAGAATCACATTTGGTAACTACCCCTGACGGATATATCTTGCAAATTTTTAGAATACCACCTCACGAATATGACAACAGAAAAAATAAACAACCCATTTTTCTTCTCCATAGCATATTATCGGACTCATCTGCCTGGGTTTTTGCTGGAAACAGATCAATACGTAAGTGTTGTGAATAAAAAACGGTTTGTTTTAATTGCTTTAAAACAGTTTTTTTTAGTTTTAATTACTATTTTTTTAATTACCTTAATGTTTGATATGGTTGATGTCAGTTTTTGTTAGAAAGAGCAGAAATTTTCAAATTTTAGAACAGTATCCAAATTAAATTAATGAAATCAAATTATTTTTTCTAAATTTCATAAATGAATAATATTACCAATTCTATACTGACAGCTGCATCATAAAATATAAAGATAAAACCGTACCATAAAACATATCAACAAAATTATTTATTCTAATCTGTATTAAAAATTTTGAGGTTTATATATCATTTGTCGAAGTGTTAGTTGTCGTCCAAGTAGTTTAAATTTGGTTTGATGGCGTTACCGCAAATTTTAAGTATTTTAATTATACTAAAGGAATTCACTGGCTCATTTTTGCACTGGTAAGATTCATGTACCTGGGGATTAGACGTCCGAAACTGGAAAAATATAACTGCTTTCTAGGAACGCATTCATTATTTATTTATTATCTCTGTCGATATACCGTTGCGTTCTCGGACAAAAACCATCCACGTGGAATAAAAGTAATTTAGCAGGGGAGGGGAATGACAATGGCGATTAATATAAAAGCTGGAATTTTCAAAATTTTGCAGCCACTTTTCAAACAGCCCTTGAAGAGCAAATGTCGATCTTGTAATTATGTGTTATATTGTGATTATGAGATTATGATTATTATTATTACAATGACCACCTTAATTTACCTTGACTTGGCTATGAAAATTTTTTTGAATACACTGAGAAGTCGTCTAAAATTTTAAAAGCGCGATGTAAGCTTTATTTATCTGTAACAAAAATGTTATCGTCCAGTTTAGCAGTGCAGTTAAAGTGTTCCATGTTTTAGGGACATATTTATTATTTTGTACGGTTTTACATTTATCAGTCACATCAAAGATCTGAAAAAGATAAAAAAAAAAAAATAACTAAAACAAGAAACTGTTTTAAAAGAATTAAAATACATCGTTTTTTATTCATTAAGGGGACTCGCTAGACAAGGTATAACATTTTTTTGGTTTTTTGTATGAAAAAAATGATATTAATATAGATGTATCGTACATCAAACTGCAGCTTTTTTCATATTCTAGAGCGCAGAGACCAATTCAATCAATTAAAAAAATATGGCTGAGAAATATCGTAAAAAAAGCACCATTGTATGTTTTCTTCTCAAATTTTTACTCCACTCAGGATCCTGAATTCAATACACATGATTACTAAAAATTCATTGTAATATTATTGTTAATATATATTTTGCTTTGTTAATTAATAAAACTACTAAAAATATTTATAATAATAATAAAAAATATATAAAATATAGCTTTTGTTTAACATGTATAAGTCGCTAAGTGTATCTACTACTTATCCCAGAAAGGAGGTATTTTAAAAAAGCCCTACGCCCAGTAACTTCTCCCTTCATTGTTTACTCGAAAAAAGTGCTCGTATATGTTTTCATTTCATTTCATTCAGAGATCATTTTAAAAATATATTTATAATAAAAATATGCAAGTCTTGGTGATGAAAAATGTACTCCTAATAAATTATTAAAGTACATCAAAAAATAGAAACAAATTTTATTTATTTAAAAAAAAAATCTCTCGCAAAGGCAGGTTCCTCCTTCTTCTTAAATCAATTATTTCGGGCAATAATGCGCCAAAGTAAAATCTGTCAAGTTTATCTGCCATATTTTTACATATTTCTGCGTTTTTTTCTATATCAATTCCTTTAGGTGTCCACACAAGAAAATAAACTTGTGAAATACCCGTAACAAGAATTTGTCCCTGGACTTGAAAGTAGTAACCATGATTTTTTTTTAGTTTCAATTCTCTGTCTGGCAATGTACAAAATTTGATTATTTTTTTTCTAACCGCTTCTTCGGGAGACAAATCTTGCGATTTTGAAGGGCATTTAGTTTCGACTAATGCACTCCTATCCTCTAGAACCCTGTCTGGACTAGCAGCCAAGTAAGGAAATTGTTTTGAAATAAACAAGCCACACCGTTCAGTTTTTATATTTTTATTTATTTCAAAACACTTGACAGCTTTTTCCTCACTTTGTTGTCCATAGTATGTATGATTATTACCTCTAAATGTACTGTACAACAGAGACTCCACAGTTGTAGCTGTTGCTGTAGTTGATCTAAGTTTGTAAATACGTCCAAAATTTGAAGCCGTAACCCTAATTTCCCTTTCTTTTGCCCAAATGTGCCTATTGCCTAGTGTCTATTTCAATTTGGTCTAAATTCAAAGATAATTTTCTCAAAAAAAGCTCTTTGGCTGTCACAAATGCTTCTACATCCATGTCAGGATTATCTAAAAAATATTTAAACCATAATCGTAGTCGGGACCAGCATACGTACATTTTTTTACGACATATTTTTTTTTACGAATACTTTGTCTAAGACGAACTTGTTTCATAGACGAACAATATTTTTTTGTTATTAAACCAGGACCGTTTTAATCACAATATATTTACTTATCCCCTCTAAAAAATTGATGACGTCACCTCAAAATTTTGCTGAATAATTCCTATCTAAAATATACAAAATATGATGAGTCTCCTCTTGTAATTTATCATCCCATTCATATTTTTTGGATTCGGATATACAGGTGACTAAAAAATTTAATGAATGCGCAAATTTATTTGATTGATTTAATCAGGAACTACAGAACCGAATGCTTTGAAATCTAATGTGAAAAAAAAACATAATAGGCATGCAGTCGTCACGTTTCCGATAGCGAGGAAGTACTGTCTAAACTCTTTAGACCAATTTTTTTTATTTTCCCATTTCTCCATTTCTCAATTTTTCAATGTTTCAGTTTGGGATTTGTTCACTGTTTTCTTTAATTTTCCTTCCATTTTTAGGTTTTTCAATATTTCAGCTTTGGAATTTTGCAATATTTCGTTTCTACCATTTTTCAAATTTTTGATATTGTGTTTTCTCGGTTTTTCAATTTTTCGATATTTTAATTTTTCACTTTTTAAAGTTTTAGGTTTTTAGATTTCTCACTATCTCGACTTTTCGATTTTTCAGTCCATGATTTTTCGATTTGTCGAATTTTTAAATTTTAGATTTTTTGTTTTCTTTGATATTTTGAGTTCTCGATCATTCGATTTTCTGAGTTTTCAGGCTTAGATTTTTTTGTTGTTCAATTCTTGGATTTTTAAAATTTTTGTTTTTTAAATTTTCCTATTTATCAACTTACTGGGATTTCAATGTTTTGATTTTTTGATTGTTCAATTTCTCGATTTTTTTAATGTTTAGTTTTTGATACGATTTTTTTTTCAAAAATTTTCAGTTTTTCAATTTATTAACTTTACGATACTTCAGTTTTGCTCGATTTCGATTTCTCGATTTTTCATATTTTCGGTTTCTCCAATTTCTTCATTTTTCGATTTCTCAATTTTCCGATGTTTCAGTTTTACGATTTTTACATTTTTTTATTTTTCAGTTTTCAATTTTTGACATTTCTAAATTTTTCGATTTCTCAATTTTTCGATTAACTGATTTTTTGATTTTCCCATTTCTCTATTTCTCGATTTTTCAATTCTTTCTTCAATTGTGATTTTTCAATTTTTCGATTTCTCAATTTTTCAATGTTTCAGTTTTGGATTTTTTCACTTTTCCGATTCTTCAATTTTCTTTCCATTTTTCAGTTTTTCAAGATTTCAGTTTTGAATTTTTTCACTTTTTCGATTTTTCAATTTTCCTTCCATTTTTCAGTTTTTCAGTATTTCAGTTCTGGAATTTTGCAGTGTTTCGGTTCTTCAATTTTTCCATTTTTTCATGTTTCGATTTCTCGGTTTTTCAATTTTTCGATAGGTATTTTAATTTTTCAATTTTTAAGTTCTAGATTTTCCTTTAATTTTTTTGTATTCCTTGATGTTTTGATTTCTCGATTATTCGATTTTTCAAGTTCTCGGTTTAGATTTTTTGGTTTTCCAAGTCTTCGATTTTTAAATTGTTTAATTTTTAGATTGTTCAATTTCTCGATTTTTCGATTTTTCAATTTTCGTCTAATTTGATTTCTTAATTTTTTGATTTTTTGACTCCTCTACTGTCGATATTTTGATTTCTCGATGTTTCAGTTTTTGAACATCCGATGTTTCAAATTTTCTACTTTTTGGCTTTTCGAGTGTTCAATTTTTAGATTTTTGAATTTTAGATTTTTGTTTTTTTGATTTTTTTGTTGTTTCGATTTCCCAATTCTTCAATTTTTCGATATTTTAATTTTTCAATCTTTCGAATTTTTAAATTTTTGATTTTTCTTTTCTTTTATTTCTCAATTTTTGGATTTTTTAAATTTTACATTTTTCGATTTTACTATTTTTTGATGCTTGGATTTCTCAATTTTTCAAGTTTTTAATACTCAATTTTTCAGGATTTGAATATTGAGAACTTTTCAATTTCTGGATTTTCAACTTTCAGATATTTTAATTTTTTGATTTTTTAATGTTTCGATTTTTGGATGTTTTGATTTTTCGATTTTTAAAGTTTTTGATTTTTCGATTTTTCCGATTTGTTGTCTATTTTAAGTATATTTCATTTTTGAATTTGCGCCTTCTGCGGTATTATTATTTATTGTGCTGCACTTGACGGGCGAGGGAAGTTCTGTCGAAATAACCTTCGACCAATTTTTATACTTAGCACGTAGGGTTCTTACTAAGCATTCCTTATTTAACCGAACAGTTATTAATTTAACTAAGCAGCTATTATTTCACCAAGTATATATTATAATATAATAATAATAGTAAAAATAATTATTTTTACTGAGAATTTATTTTTTAACTGAGCATTTATTATATAACTTAGCATTTATCATTTTTACCGAGCAAAAATACAGAGCGTTTAAAAATAGAGCTGTGCATTTAATTTGTTCCCTTAACCCTTATCTAAATAATAAGAAAACGGTATTAATAATACATTTAGGCGAATAAAGTAATAGACGGGCTTGATAAGCCTTGTTTGCTCTACAGTGTCTAAATTGTGTTTGAATAATATAATAATTATCTCGAATATTAAAATTAATATGTCAAAAGAATACGAGACATGATTATTCTGTGCTGAAGGTATGTTGTGGGCCGCCTGTCATAAATTGTCATTATTCTTCATTATCGGCTTACGATGTTTTTATGACCCACGTCCGGTAGTCGTCTATCCCAGCGCGTCAGGTAGATTTAAAGAAGAATTGCTGGTTGCGTTTAAGGCAACAAATGGCGCCCAATTCAAACTTGTCTCTCGTCTAGCGTTCCCCTTAACATCTTTAAAGCCACGCACATCGAGGCATTCTAGCCCGTTGTCTGCCACCCCTTGCAGACAAGAACACAAATAAATTTTCCAACATTTTACTAGCTTTCCAGTTGGCTTCCGAAGGATACGATGTCTGGATAGGCAACCAAAGAGGAACCATATATTCACGAGGACATGTAGCTTTGAAGGATTCCAATAAAGAATACTGGGACTATAAGTATGATTCAGTTATACTATACTGGGTGTCTGGAAAATGACGGATTAACTCTCCGGTACGCTCTTAACAATCAACTGGTGAGTCTGGGAAAAATAGTGAAAAAAATCCTTCTCACGTTTTGGTGGAGTTATAATGATTTTAAAATTGGTTCTTTTGCTACGTTTAACAACTAAACAACACATTCATTATCACAATAACTAGTAATAAAACTTTAAGTTAATATTTTTCTCGGCCATGACCATGTTTAATTACCATTTCAGTTAGAATGCACAAAGATATTGTAATAATTTGATAAAATTCCATTTGACAACAATGTTTGCCTGATATAAAGCGAAGGTGGATTTCAATCACCATCGTTACTAAGAAACCAGAAAGTAAGCCGGAGGTATTCACACATAAGGTGTGTACTGTGTTGCCAATTTTACTTTTATAAAATTACGTTTTCTTCGTAATCTACATCATAAAGAATTTTTTTATTATTTTTTTGGGACTCCCGAAACTCCCGTATATAAGGTGCTGAAGAGTTAATCCGCGATTTTCCGGACACGCGGTATATTTATTTTTTAACTAACTTTTAGTTTGGACACGCTAGCAGCCAACGACATTCCTTCGTTTTTAAATAAAGTTGCCGAAGTTACTGGAAAAGCAGGTTCCATAATTTACATGGGACACTCTAGAGCCATTATGTTGTTGTTTATGTATACGTCGGAACACCCTGAAGAAATCGAACAATTACTAAGAGGAATCGTAGCCTTTACACCCACCGCGTATCTTGACCCTACTGGAAATGTTAAGAACTTTTTCACAGTGGCACAATTACTTGGGGTATATTCTTGTTTCTGTAGATGTTATTGACTATATGTTTTATTTATTTATTTTTTTTTAGTTAACTTTAAACAAATTTGGTATTGGTGCCATATTTCAATATCCTAAACCTATCATAGCACTCTCACAAGCCCTATGTCCAAAATTCCCTCAAATATGTCAGTTTGTGGCGTTCGAAATTATAGGGCACTCTAATTTACTTCTCAACGTAACTTTGCTCCAGCAATAATTCATCACATTTTATTAACAGTAGATTTTTAGGAAGACCTATTAAACTTTTTTGGTCATTTTCCTGCACCTTTATCGGCGAAAGAAATTATTCAGCATGGTCAGTTTTATGAAACACAAAGATTCCAAAAGTTTGACTATGGAGTAGCGAAGAACATAGAAATATATGGTCAAGACAAACCCCCTCTTTATAATTTAAGAAATGTTAAAGTTCCGACTTTCATTTGTTATGGGAAGAAGGATGTGTATATCAGTGAAAGAGTAAAACATGAAACTGCATTATTTATTACGAGATAACAGTAACATGTTCTTTTCAGACTATGATGAGGATATTTAATGAACTTGGAAGCGAAAGAAAAGCTGTTTACAAGATACCTATCAACGACGAAAATGAAAGGCACCAGTTCAGTCACGTCGACTTTTTATTTGCCGCTAATCTGACGGAATTATTGTACAAGGATTTAAGAGAAATTATAGAAAATGAATTATCTGTTTAATGCTTTTAATAAAAACGATACATACACCTGGTTATACATATAGAAAATACTTGACTAATATTGGGGCATCAATTTCTAGTGATCCCAAAAAATTCTGGAGTTTCATTCAACCGAAGAAGGGGACTTCAAAAATTCCAACACACATCAGTAGAATAACAGACAGCTTTCTTCTCCATCGAATATTGTGTATGCATTCCATCTCAGTTCGACGACCGCGTCTTTGGCCATGGAACATGGAATTGTCAAAGTGAATTTTTGATTCTCACTCAGAAATCACTGAACAATTCAAATTGGATTTTTTGATCCAGTGTACCGAATGATTATTATTGTAGGACAAATTAAACGGACTAATGCACACCTTGATCCATTCATTGGTGCTGGGTGCAGCACATGAATCCCTCGTCAAACGAGCCATCTCTGACTACACCCAGGCCGTATCCAAAAAGCCCGAAATGAAGACCTTCGAGCAGCTCGCCTTCCTCAACACCTCCATCGGCAGGATTGTGACATGTCCTGGGGGGCCGTCAAGCTAGGGATTTACTCGCGCTGCCTCACTCAGCAATTACTGAACAAGGCACACTGAATTACTTTGTCCAGTGTGACGATTATTCTTGGACAATTTAAACGGACTAATTGCACAAATTGCACAAAATATTTTATTAGGTTTTGCCGCACCTAAGGTAGTGTTGTAGTGTTTTGGAAAACATTTGACGTATAATCTAAGTTTTGTCCTACTAGTTTTAAGCTAGTGTGAATATTTGTAAAGGTTTTAATTTTGTTGAAGGAGGATATAGTGATCCTATTTTAGGAATTCAAGTTCTTAGTAAAATTTAACAAAATTGCAGTTTAATATTTAACACGTAATTTTCTTAGCTTTTAAGTACAACATTCATTTTGGAAAACGTGTCAAGCATGAGCGAAAAGTTATTCAACGGTTTATTCACACATGTTTTTATATACAATTTTATATACAGTGTTTGAGGGCAACTATACTTTTGACTAAAGGTTAAATGTTTTGTGCGAAAGTGAGAATGGAAAAAATGGATTGGTGTGTATAGAATGGAATATGTTCTGGAACATTATCGATTCAGTGAGTGGAAATACATCCCACCGATCGGATCGTCAGTTTCGAAAGATTCAGTCCGAGCACCTAGAACTACAATGCTGGATTACACAAAGCTTCCGAAAGCATCGATTAAATTTCACTTGGATGCTGCTATAATTCAATCCTGAAAGCCTTCATTCAACAATTTCTTCTCAAAATATCTAAATTCCTTGTGAAAGATTAAATTAGAATTTAAAAGTTCATGAAATAAAGAACTTTTAAAAGCGTTTTCAGAATGAAGCTGTCAGATTATGTAAAATGTTGAGAATGGAACTAGATTCGTCTTTTAGATAGTGAAAAATTGTTTTCATGCAAATTTCAGACGTCTTAAAAGCTTCTAAGTATTTTTTTTGAAACTGTAATTAGAATCAAATGTTAAATGAAATAACACTTTGACTTAACTTCATTGAGCCAACCCAACTTTGTTCACCTTTGAATTGTTTAGTACACAAAGGAGGAGTCATGGCTTTGCAGTTAGCAATCAGTGTTTGTTGCTGTTTGCTGATGTAGAAAGTAAGTTTTCCTAGTATTAATAAACACTACGAACTTGTGCTTAAAATATCTATTTTTATGGCAAAATACCTCTATTCTGTCAGACTTATTAATAAATAAAATGAGATTCGTGCATGAGAGTTTTATGTGTAAAATATGATGAATTTTTAATAATAATAATAATAATAATAATAATGTCTTTATTTCCCAACAGTGTAAAATACACCAATTACAGGTACAACTTAAAAGAACAATTGTATGTAAAAAAAAAGAACTAAATAAAAAGAAAAATAAACTACGAAACGATAGATTAGTGGCTAAACTAATACTAAATTAATACAAAAATTAATGAATACTACTAAATATTACCTACTTTTTCAAAAAAAAAAAATCTTTCAACACATTTTTTAAACGTTGAATATCTCAAATGAAATATGTCAACATCATTACAAACTTCATTATATAAAGATGACATCAGGTATAGCGGCGATCTAACAATCATATTTGTCCTGGGGATATTGTAGGTGAAAGTTGAATGATGTCTGGCATACATTCGTGGGACCAAAAAGTTCAGTTTTTCAAGCATTTAAGGTATATCCAATTGGGAGTGAAGTAATTTATATAATAGAAGTAGAACATTAGTTTGACGCTTTGCTAAAACAGGGATAAACTTAAATTCATCTAGGAGAAGATCGTGGTTATATCCTCTTGGGGGATAAACTTTATGAGATTTTAAGAATAAGTATTTTAGGAATTTACGTTGGATGTTTTCAATTATGACATTGTAGGTTTGATATATAGAATACCACACAATAGAAGCATATTCAAGCTTGCTCAAAATAAGTGTTCTGTATAAGGCGACGAGGCAGTCAGTATTATAGAAAGATTTACTATTACGTATAATAAAACCCAGCGTCCGATTACAGGATGAAATAATATTAAAATAATGTTGATCAAATCGAAAAGCCTTATCAAAGTATATACCTAAGTCTTTAACAGTGTTATATCGCGGGAGTATGCTTTGATCTATTTCATAATCATAAGTAATAATGTTGTTTTTTCGAGTAAATGAAATAATTTTGCATTTAGGAAGGCTCAATTTAAATTTATTGCTGATGCACCACTCATAGAGCCTGGTTAAGTTTTTTTGAAGAAAGATAGCATCTGCTAATGAGTTAATATTATGAAATATTTTCGCGTCATCTGCAAATAACAAAATTGAACAGTGTATGCTGGAAGGTAGATCATTTATGTATAAATTAAAGAGAAGTGGCCCTAATATAGATCCTTGAGGAACTCCTGAGCTAGCAATAAAAGAATAAGATACAAAGTTGTTATACTGCACAAATTGAGTACGGAGAGTAAGATAGGATCGAAAAAGGTTTAATAATTTACAAGTGAAACCAAAATTTACAAGTTTTTTAAGAAGAATATTGTGGTCAATACGATCAAATGCCTTTGTAAAATCCGTATAGATGACATCGACTTGTGATTGATTTTCCAAACTTTCAGATACAAATTGTGAGAACATTATGAGGTTTGTTGTTGTTGATCTATAATTTAAAAAACCATGCTGATACTTTGATATATAATTTTTCACTTCGGGGTAGATATGGGAATATAGGATTAATTCAAAAATTTTAGCAAAATTAGAAAGCAGGGAGATTGGTCTATAATTTTCAATTTTAGATGCATCACCGGACTTCAAGACAGGACAGATCTTAGATTCTTTCCATTTATTGGGAAAAACTCCTGTTTCAAGGGATTTATTAAAAATTAGTAGGAGTGGCTTAGCAATTTGAAACTTACAGTCCTTAATTATGAAACTTGGAATCTGATCTGAACCTGATGTCATACCTGGTTTCAATCTTGTGATGGCTTTTATTATATCATCTTCCGTGATCTTAAATATATTTACAACACATGAGGTAGAATTTACAGTATCAGCTAAATAATATTCATCAAGCGGATCAGATTCAGTATAGGTGGATCTAAAGAAATCACTAAAGGCATTTACTATTTCCATAGGATTTTCAAACTTGTTTATACCAAATGACATTTGGCCTGGAATTCTAGTTTTACCTTTTTTAGCATTAATGTAACCCCAGAATTGCTTAGGATCATGATGTATGTTAATTTGAATGTTGTTAATATACAATTTATAAGCAGTATTTATTTGCTTCTTTAAAAGGGACCTAATTTCTTTAAATTTCAGTAAATAAGAATGTAGACCTGAAGCTCTGTATTTCTTAAGGTATCGGAATTTAAATTTAATATTATTTATTATTTCCCTATTGAACCATGGCGGGTAATGCCGCTTTTTTGACCGAAAGACAGGTACATGTTTACGGAATAAATTGAACAGGATATTATAAAAACAATCAACCATCAGATCTACAGAAGAAAGAGTTGATAATAATGACCAATCAGTTAATAGGATATCATTGTAAAGAGAGATGAAGTCAGCTTTACGAAAGTTAAAGGCACTTATATTATGGTTATCATTACCATGGCGTGGAAAATTAATCGGTTTATCAACTGAGAAGGTGCAAACTAAAGATAGTGCTGGGTGATACTTGTCTTCTATTACCATTGGATTATCAAAGTGGCTAACTTCCCATTGAATATTCGAAAATGCTAAATCTAACAATTTATTATTAGAATTGAAAATATTATTTATTTGATTTAAATTTAAAAAATGTGCAAATGTCTGTAGACGAAGAATTGTTTTATTAGGGATGATGTCATTAAAATTTGGAATATTGAAGTCACCTATTAGAATTATGTTATTAAGACTCACTAACTCTTCCTCAAAGAAATCACAAACAGCATTTAAACCGTCAAAAGACGGAGTACAAGGAAAATATATTACAAAAACCGAGAGAGATTGAAAACCAAGTTTTAATTTACATCCAACAAGATCTATAGATGGATTATTATTTTGAAAAGCTTGAGTATCGATTTTTTCAACTGAAATGTTACCTTTGACAGCTAATAATACACCACCACCACGAGTTACGTTATTTGTTATCAAATTTCGATCAGACCTGAACACATTGTAAACATCTGTTAAGATAAATTCAGAATTATTTATAGAGTCAATTAACCACGTTTCCGTTAAACAAATTATATCAAAATCAGAATCACTTGAAGAAACCAAAAAATCATCCATTTTGTTTTTGAGGCTACGAACATTTTGGTAGTATAAGTAGAACTTTTTTACAGAATTGGGCATGCCTAGTTTAAAGTAGGTTTTTTCTGGATTGTCGGAACACCACGTATGTATTTAATAAACAAATCTAGCTCACCTTTTTCACGTCTGTTTGTTATCTGGTTCAGTAACTCCTTATAATACAGCCTTTGCTTATCAGTTTTATCTGATGACGCATGCACAGATTTAAAGTGCGGAACAGCATCAATATTACGACGTTTCCTTTTTATTAAGCCTAATAAATTGAATACATCTTTTTCTTCTTTAAGTGTTAATTTGATTGGTCGAATCTTATTGGTAACATACTTGCCAAGTCGAATTGGAGTTGAAATTAGTTCTGGGATGGAAGAACGCTCATTACCAGAATCATGTTGTAACAATTTCAGAAAATCGGAAACCAATTCAGCTTCTTTCTTTTTACTTGGCATTTATCATTGGATTCATATTTTTTAGATTTACTTAAACAGGTGGCTCAAATAAATTAATGAATGAGTCAATTTGTATTATTAATTAAAATCTGGAGCGGCTCACCCCATTTTCTCAGAAAATTTTGGGAATACAATACTGTTATTGTTAGTATTACATTGAACTAATCCATCAGCTTGCGTGTCCTTGCAAAAATGTGTAAAAAAAAAACCTCAACTCGAAAATGCTGGATGCGTTTCATTGTACTTTAGGTCCGACAGAACTTCTGTCATAACACCTCTCGATCAAATTTTTTTATTTCATTGGTACATTCCTTGTTGATAGTAATGCTTTTACCGAAGTAGATTTGTAGTGCATTCGTTTAGTTTTATGTTCTTTATGTTGACTGTTATCTATTTGAAATAAATATATACAGATTTTCCAAAATATTGCACATCCTTTCAAATAGATTTGCATATTTATTTTGATTCTTGGTATGTTTTAGCCCAGCATTTACTGTCATAGTTTAACATAGTTTAGTAACTG